GGTCGGGATCTGAGTCCCGCCCACGCCGCCAGGTGAGCCGGTGGGGGACACACCCCAGGGGAAGCCTGAGGCCCTGCAGCTGCGGGAGGGATGGGAGCCACAGGAACCGCAAGGCCAGATGCCGAGTCTGAGAGGAGCCGCTCGGCTTCCAGGTAGTTGGGCAGGCAGCCACAGTTCACTGACACACAGCCCCGGGCACCCGTGTCCCCAGCGCAGGTGTGCCTAGCACTCCTAGACAGAGGGTTGCCATGAGATTAGCATTGTGAGCCTCGAACCCCAAGCCGGTGCACACAGACCTACGAAGCTCATCGCCTTACCAAGCATGAGCAACAATTTCAAGGCTGAAGTCGCCCCAACACCAAGCCACGCCCCACCCCGCCTCGTCACACGGTCCCTGAGAAGGCCCAGGTGCCATCAGGGCTGCTAGGCTGTGCGGAATTCCCAGCCGCACACCCAGGGGTGACAGACAGGGCAGGAAGCGCCTGTGTCGGGTGACCGCGACACGGAGCTCTCCACCGGACTAAGGCCGGCAGCCCAGAACCCGTCCCGAGGCCTGTGCACCTGGAGTCTAACTCACGTCCTCTTCGTCCACCCACAGAAGCTAAAATGAAGGGAAACCCCATCTTCCTTAGGAGTGGATGTGCCCCATCCAGCGCTGGGCCCCAAGCCCCTCAGAGGCAACAGGACAATGGCCAGCACCACTCAGCAGGGACAGACCTGGGGGCCAGAGGACCCCCGGGAGCAGGCAACCACCAGAGGCAGGGACGAGGGAGAAGAAACGCACAGCACACGAGGGTCGGGCCCTGGAGCCGGCACGGGAGCAGACTGGGAGTGGCTGGGGGCTGGCAGACTGACCAGGAGCGGCTGGGGGCCGGCACGGGAGCAGGTCCGACCAGGAGCGGCTGGGGGCCGGCACGGGAGCAGGCCTGACCGGGAGCAGGCCGAGGCCACAGCGCGGGCCGCACAGAGCCTGGGAGGCCCTGCAGAGAGGCCCTTTATCTTCAGGCAGGAGGAAAGCTGGAAGGTTTAAACAAGACCGACCTCCCCAGGCCAGATTCTCAGGAGATCCAGCTGACCACAGCATGGACAGAGGCGGAGGGGCCAGAGGATGGCGGAGGAACCAACCAGGGCCCTGCAGAGCCGGGCAGTGAGGACAGGAGTGGGCGTGGGCGGCACGGGCGTGGGCGGCACGGGCAGAGGCCCCAGGAAACACCACACAGGCAGCTTCTCCGAGACAGTACAGGCGCACGCTCTGTCCCCACAGCACCCCGCTGTGCCCACACCCACTGCACACACGCCTGCACCCCGCTGTGCTCACACCCACTGCACACACGCCTGCACCCCGCTGTGCTCACACCCACTGCACACACGCCTGCACCCCGCTGTGCTCACACCCACTCCTTACACACCTGCACCCTGCTGTGTTCACCCCAGGGCACGCTGCTTACACGCCTGCAGCCCTCTGTGCTGCCTCACACTCAGTACACAATCAACCCCTGTAACACACAGCACGGGACACCTCCTGTCCTCAGGAAAACCTTCCTGTTGAAGCACCTGCTGAATACCCACAGTCTCAGCCAGCGCTCCACGGAGGACGTCCCCCAGCCAGGCTGAGCGAACGTCCACTTAATCAAAGCTTTAGTGAAACAGCACCCAGCTACACAGAGGTCCCCCCTTTCCTAGTGAATTGTCACATAAGAACTGTACATACTTGTCAGTACCACTGGATGTGTTGATAAACATTGACGCTGTACGTCCAAGCTCTTTCAACACCCTGTCTCAATAGTGAAAATTCAGAATCTCTCCTTGTATCTTTCTTAGAGAAACACAGCACACTAACATCCCTGGTGGTCCCCCTCTGTGCAATGGAACGCCGGTTTGCGTTTCGGCTTCCTAGCTAGGAGGGCCCCTCCGTCCACCTGTCCCCTCCCCTCCCTTCACACGCTGTCTGGCCTTGCTAATCGCCACCGCCCGCTGAGCACCGGGAGCACTGTGCCCGGGAGGCTGCACAGGTGAGATTGCATGGCGTCTGGCTACTTCACGCAGCGCGGCGACCTCCTGGTCACCCACCGGACGCAGACAACAGCATTTCATCCTGTCACGTGGCCATGCCACACTCCACTGTTTGTGTTTGCTCCACATGGACACGTGGGCAGTCTCCCTCGCCTGGCTGTGTGCAATCGACATGAGAGTGCAGATTCCTGACCCTTCCCTCGGCTAGGGACCCGGGGCAGGGCTGCTGGGTGCAGGGCAGTTCTGCCTGAGGCGCCTGTGGCAGCTGCACGCCGGCCCCTGCAATGGCTGAACTAACGCGCACGCCCACCCGTGTGCAGGGTTCCTGGTTCCCACGTCCCTGCCAGAGTCCGGGAACAACCTAACCGGCGCGAGGAGATCCCGCGCTGTTTTGACGTGCGTTTCCCAGCTGATGGGCTATGTGCAGCATTTGTTCACGTCCTGATTTGCCACTCGCACTTCTCCCTTTGAGAAATCGACGTGTAGATCCGCTGCCCCTCTGCAGAGGAGTTTTGTGGTCTCAGTGACACTGAGTTGTTCGCGTGCCTTGTACGCTGCCCCGTCAGACCACGGTTTGAGGACGTCTTCGCCCATCCTGTGGCTGCTTCTTGGCTCTGCCGATGGCCTCCTTTGCCGGCAGAAGCCCTTCAGTTTGCTGAAATCCCATTTTTGCTGAGTTTTGCCTTTGTCTCCTGTGCTTTGGGAATCTGAGAAAAGGAAATCCCTGCCCCTTGCAACGTCCTAAAGCGTCCGCCTGCGTTTCCTTCTGGAAGTTCCCAAGTCTCAGGTCCTACGTCTGGATCTTTAGTCCAGCTCGAGATCACCTTTGTACGTGCAAGGGCCAGGCGCCCCGTTCCAGGCTCCCACACGTTTCCCTTCAGCTGAAAAGTCTGTCCTTTTCCAATGTGTGTGTTCCGGCTCTTCCGTCAAGGACCATTTGTGATCCTGGAGCTGGATCTCAGAACCACGGCTGAGCCCAGGTCATAGGGATTCCCCCCCCCCCCCCCCCGAGGTTTCGAGCTGTGGCTACACCGCAGTCCAGGCTCTCGGCACAGGCCCTGGGGGCGCCGACGCCCACCCCAGACACCGGACAGCCGCTGTCCTCGCAGAGAGAGCACCGCCTGCTGGACCCTGCGCCCACCTGCTGAGTGGCCTGGACTGCTCCGACGGAAATCAGCTGAGCTTCAGGTTCCAAGTCCATTGCACTGATCTGTGTGTGTCTGTGTCCCCGGCAGCCTGTCCCGTGTCCCACTGATCTGTGTGTGTCTGTGTCCCTGGCAGCCTGTCCCGTGTCTCACTGATCTGTGTGTGTCTGTGTCCCTGGCAGCCTGTCCCGTGTCCCACTGATCTGTGTGCACCCGTGTCCAGAGCAGCCCGCCCTGTGTCTCACTGATCTGTGTGTCTGTGTCCCAGGCAGCCTGTCCTGTGTCCCACTGACCCGTGCACGTGCGTGTCCACGGCAGCTGGCCTTGCTCGCTGGAACTCTGCACATGGGGAGGTTGGTGAACACGCTCTTGCACTTTGTCCACGTTCTGCATCTGTGCATCTCCTCCTCCTGGGTCTGGGTCGGCTGGTCAGTCGCTGTGCTTAAGGTGGCGCTGGGATGCCTCGAGGGTCACTCCCGATGCTGAACATCATCTCCAGGCCATGGCACAGGACATCTCTTGACTGAGCTGGTTTGCGACATTGAGCCACGTTTTAGGGTTTTCCGTGTCCCTGTCTTACTCGTCCAACTTTTGCTTTTTGAGGCTGGTGTCGGTCGAGTGCTCCCTGCTGGCCAACAGAAACGTGAGGTTCTCGTGTTCGCTGCGCGTCCTGCAGCCCTGACTGCTTCCCGGGGCTCGTGCAGGTTCTGTGTGACCACGCTCACCTCTTCCCTTGCAGCCTGGGCGTCGCCCCGCAGAGGAGGGCTGTCCACCCACCGTCCTCGCTTCCTTGCTCAACGCCCACTGCCTGTGCTCGCCTCTGGGCCATTTCACTCCCCTAGCAGGGACCTGGCTAACAGCACCTTTAAAATCCCCTGGGAGTCCTGCCACCAAGCTGGAGACTCCACAGACCGTCAGACGAACTTCCGGCCTGACCTCAGGAGCTTAAAGAACAGTAAAGAGCCGTTCAAATGCCAGGCAACACGAGAGAGCCCGAAGGCTGCTCTGATGCCGACTAGGGCACGTGTCATGGAAGGCTCCACACAGTCCTGATGGAGACCTCGGCCTCCTGGCCGTGTCACTCTGCAGAGATGGGGGTGACGAACTCGGATGACCACGTGTTCGCTCTGTAAGGGGACGTGGGGGCAGGAGCAGCAGCCCCCAGGCAACAACACCCGGCTCAGTCCACACTAAATATCAACCCCCCTACCGACCCCACCCGGCACAGCAGAGCTCCGCCCTGCCCAGATAAGGAACCCTCAGCACCTGCCCCTCGGCTACAGGAGTCCCTGTGGTTCCGGACACCAAACACCCAAAGTGGCCTCACCCAGAGGTCAACGAGGACACTGCTGATCAGAGCCCGCCCTCCAGCCTGCAACCCACAGACCCTGGAGAGGGGAGGAGCCGCTGTGGGGAGAGAACCCCACACCCGAGGCAGTGGGACCAAGAAGCCGACGCGAGCCGTGGCTGCCCCAGCAGTGCCTGGCTGCACCTTGACCGTGGCTGGTCCTGCCTGAGCCCGTGTGAAAGCCAGGCTCCCCAGCCACCCTCTGCCACCCACAAGTCGGTGAGCGAGCTTCTGGAATCCTGGCCACAGGTGTGTGCTCGGCAAGGGTCACACCCCTCTGTCCCTGCCGGGCGGGTGCGGGGCTGACCCTGGCCCGCTGACCTCCGTGTGGCCAGTTAGGATCCCAAACCACGAGCTGCAGGAGCCCCCCAGGCACCCACAGGTCCGACCGCAGGACCACGGCCGCCGAGCCCACGCCCGCGCCCCCACAGCCGCCGAGCCCACGCCTGCGCCCCCACAACCACCGAGCCCACGCCCGCGCCCCCAGCCTCTACCTCTTGGCTTCCTCCAGGTGGCACAGGTACTCGTAGGCGATGTTCTGCCGCCGCCTCTCGTCCATCTCCTCCGCAGACAGCCTCTCATCGTCCACGATCGCTGCAGACACAGGGCGCACAGCGTCACTCCTGGCAGCCTCCGCCCCACACCACACACGCTCACGCCAGCAGCACCCGCGAGACAGCGAAGAGCCCACGGCACGCGTCTGTCCCCAGTCCCGGACGGATCACAGTCTAGAGCCCCCGACCCCCGGAGAAGGATGCGGGACCCTCGGTCAGGAGAACAAAGTCTCCAGCTCCCCCTCACCTATCTCTTGGCGCTGACCACACAACCTTCTGCCAGGAGGAAGCAGCTGAGTGAGCAGGCGCAGTCCCCGCGGGCCTACCTGTGCACCAACACGGCTGCCCGCCTGTCAGCAGCACATGGAGCCACAGCCTCTGGGCGCCGGGTGGCTGACGCCGCACTCCCTGCCCACGGCGCCTGCCCTTCATTCCCACCCGCGGGGCCGTGTGTCCCTCTTCACCCTGACTGCCCCTGAACCGGTCCAGTGTCTGCCGTGCTAGTTCACTCATGGAGGAAGACCTGTGCCTGTGCGTGCAGGCGTCACACACACATGCTGGTGTTCACACATGCACACACCACGTGCAATCCATGTGTGTGGCACATGCATGTGCACGTGTGGTCACACATGGAGGTGTGTTCTGTACGCTGCATGGTGTGTGTGCACACACGCGTGTACGTGCACCACTTGCATTGGGGAGGAACATCAGTGTTGTCAGCCACACAGGTGGGAGGGAGAAGGAGCGAGGGGCGCCCCTGCTAATCCCCCCGGCAGACACAGGAACCAAGGCCGAGTGCTGAACTCTGGAGTCAGAACGACGCTGGGTGCTGAAGACCTGACACAGGCTGCAGGGCGCGACACTCAGCCCGGCCCTAATGACGGACGCAGCCAGGCTGTGAGCAGAGAGCCCGGGCAGACGCCCCTTCTCTGAGCACCGCCCGCGGGGGCTTTCTGTGCCGGCTGCAGACACGGGGAACTCACTGGGCCATGGGGGCCGTGCCCAAGCGGGGCCAGAACACAGCCGAGCACACGCTCTGGGGTCCCTGTGGACAACGAGGGGGAAAGGGACCCTCAGGGCATGGTGGGTACCTGCAGCACCCAGGGCGGCTTCCTCTCCCCCCAGCACTCCCCTCGGCTCCACCCCTGGGCAGGGGCCCCGCCCACCCGGACCAGCACCACCAGCAGCGCCAACAGCCACTTCTTTTCTGCAATAACCCAACCTGCTCCACGTTAAGGGGGTCTCATGCTTCAGGGGGTGTGGGGCTTTCCTGACTTCCATGCCCGCATCCCTGCCTGGGGCTCCTCCTCCTGCAACAGGTGCAGCCGCCCAGCCCCGCCCCCTCCACTGCAGCAGCGGCTCTGTGCCCGGGCGGCCGCTGCCCCACATGCCGCCGTCTGGCGGAGCTCCGCCTCCCACAGCACAGAGCTCTGTGTGGCAGCTGCCTCTCCTCCCACTGCTGTCTGCGCTGCAGCCAGGAACAGCCCCGCCCACCACCACTTCCTAGTGTGACACCCTTGACGGCGTCTCTGCTGGAACCCAGGACTGCCCTGCCAGCACCGAGGGCCTGGCTTTCACTGCGTCACTCATGCGAGACGCCCAGCCGCCAGCGTGAGCCTTGTCTCCTCCCCCCTGGCCGGGTCCCCTGGAAGAGGAGGCTGTGGTCCTGCCTCCTACACGCCTGTCACAGATGCTCACACAGAGCTGGCTCCCAGCACCTGTGGACACCGCCTTCGCGGGGATCCCGACGGCAGCCTCCCAATCACTGCACTGGAGAAGTCACCGACTTCTCACCCCGGGGCCCTGCACCGCGCCGGCCCCGCGCCGGCCCCACGCCAGCCCCATGCCCGCCCCAGACACCGCGGTGCCGGTCTCTCACTCACTTCCAGGGAAAGACGGCTGCTCACTTACGCTTTATTGTTTGAGTGGCAGAGACGGACAGACAGAGGTCTGCCATCCGCTGGTTCACTCCCCAAATGCCCTCAGTGGCCAGGGCTGGGTCGGGCTGCAGCCAGGAGCCAGGAGCTCCACCTGGGTCTCCCATGTGGGTGGCAGGGGCCCATGTACGTGAGCCACCAGCTGCCACCTCGCAGGGCGCACCCAGCAGGAAGCTGGGGTGGGGGGCAGAGCTGGGATTGGAACCCAGGCACCCGATACGGGACATGGGCATCTTAATCTCTGGGCGGAACCCGGCCGTTAATATTTTCACTTTTATCAAGTTTCTTCTGACACACTCAGGCCTCACCCACACAGCTGCTGCAGGTCCTGGGGTCCCATGCCAAGCCCAGCCTTGCCCGGGTACCCAACTCCCTGACATGACCCAGCCCAAAGGACACAACTTACCAAGGGTGTGAATGAGACCACACACACATGCACATGTGTACACAAAACACACATATGCACACACACTATATGCACATATACACACGCACACACATGTGCACACCACACCACACGTGTGTGCACATGCACCATACATGTACACACACGTACCACACATGCACACATACAGACATGCACAAGCAGGCATATACACTACACACATATATACACCCATGCACACACATGCACCTACCACGTATGTGCACACACGTGCACAGCATACCACATATATACACACCACACACATACACATGCATTATGCACATGCACACATACATTACGCACATAGATGCACACATGCACACGTGTGCACAATACACTGTGCACACACACCACACACATGCACACACAATGCACATACACATATGTACACACATACACACAGATGCACACATAGGTACAGGCACACATATACACCCACACACACACGTATGCACAAACACACACTATATACACACTGCACACATGCACACACACGGATACACGTGTACACATACACTCCACACATACACGCATGCGTGCACACACACATGCATATACACATACATGCATGCTCACACACGCAAGGTTTAAAGCTGACCTCACCAACAGAATCCTACCCACCTTCCAGGGTCACCCCAAACTCCTCCTCCCAGAGCCCTCCCTGAGCTCCGGGCAGCCCTGGACGTGGGGAGTCCCTTGGGGAGGCAGACCCGTCCAAGGAGCGTCCAGCATGCCTCCCAGCCAGGCCACACCGGAACACACAGTCCCGTACCAGGAAAGCCTCACAGAGCTCCAAACTATCCACGTGGGGCGATTGTGATTGCGTACCACACCGAATGAAGCACAGGTGTGGCCACTAGTGGCGCCCAGGCCACGGACCTTGTGCACTGGGCTCACACACGCAGGTCCAGCTCCCAGCTCTCCCGTGTGGGCACACGAGAGCCCAGGGCAGGCGTGACACAGCAGAGACTGTCCCTCATGGCTGCCCGGCCCCTGCCCCGCCTCTGCTCACGGGTAGAGACTATCTCTGGTCACCATGCCCTGGCGCCAGCCCAGAATGCCAGTCTAGAAGCTGCCGGGTCCTCCAGGCCTCAGCGCAGACTGGGCAGCCACCGGACTCAGCCCTGTGCTGGGAGAGCCACCAGGGAGCTGAGCGCAGTCACTTAGGCAGGGCTCTGTGTGCGGCCATGCGGTTCCCACCACCACCTGGCCAGGCTCCGGCACACCAGGCGTGCCAGGGCAGGCAGGCACAGGAGCCCCGCCCTCACTCCGCCGCTGCTGCCACGGGGTCCAGGTGAGCCGGGCGGAGCTCGTCCCCCACAGCCCTGGTGCCTGGAGCTGCTCGCATGTGAACGGACCTGGGCACCCCGCAGCACCCTCGCCAGCACCTCTCTGCCGGGCTGAGCCCTGAGAAACGCGGGCACAGGGAGGGACCACGGCAGCTCCAGAACACCAGCTGCCGCTGCCTACGATGCGCCCCTGCGGTTTTTAAGACTTACTTATTTAAAAGACAAAGGCAAAGATAAGACAAAGAGAGACAGAAAGAATCTTCTATCCACTCATTCACTACCCCCAAAAGGCAGCAATGGCCAGGGCTGGGCTAGGCTGAAGCCAGGAGCCAGGAGCTTCTTCGGGGTCTCCCACAGGGGTGCAGGGGTCCAGGCACTTGGGCCATCTTCCACTGCTTTTCCAGGCCATAGCAGGGAGCTGGATCGGAGGTGGAGCAGCTGGGACTGGAATCAGTTCCATAGGGGATGCCAGTGTTGCAGGCAGTGGCTTAACCTGCCACGCCACGATGCTGTCCTGATGTTGCTGTTCTAAAACAACTACATTCCAGGGCCGGTGCAGTTTACAGCAGCTAAAGCCAGAGCCTGCAGTGCGGCATCCCATACGCACGCCACTGTATGTCCCGGCTGCTCCACTTCCAATCCAGCTCCCTGCTGCGGCCTGGGGTCCCAGTGCTTGGGCCCCTGCACCCACGTGGGAGACCTGCAGGAGGTGCTTACTCCTGCCTCCAGCCTGGCTCAGCCCTGGACATTGTGGGCATCTGTGGAGTGAACCAGCACATGGATGACCTCTCTCTCTGTCTCTCCCTGACTTTCATATTAACAACCTTGCAAGTAGCTCCAGTGCACGGAAGCCCCCTGAGACAGCTAACTCAGAGCTTGGGGCACCGGACAGTGGGCAGAGGAGTGACAGGGAAGCCCACCCTGGGGCAGGGGCATTCTGCAGGCTGTACCCCAGGGGTCCTCAGAACGCCCGCGACAACTGTGTGTTGGGGAAAACAGCACACACGGAGTTCAAGACATTTTGCACCAAAACAAACGTCTCTTCCGACTCCCTCACGCACGAGCAGCGCCCGCGGGGAAGGCCGAGCTGCCGGAAACTCTGGGATCCATTTCCCAGGGACGCGCAGCCCCACGCCCTGCGCTCTGGGCTCCCCCCGCCAGTGTTTGATGTCCCCACGCCCGGACTCCGGGCTCTGCCCCCTTCGCATTGCAGCTCACTCATTTGCTCTGCAAACACAGGGCGGCTGCCCGGTGCCAGCCCGTCCTGGGGACACAAAGTGGCTCACCAGGCCTCTGCAAGTTTGTCGGAAAAACAGGTGCCTGCCCTCGGGGGCATCAACTACTGGACGGGGCCGGGGACCCCCGTTCAGAAAAGGGGACAAGATCA